TAGCTCCTGGCACCTGTTGGCCATCTATTTGTGAATTGTTCTGGAAAAGTTTGGAGGGAAAAAGAATCACTAGTATTGAGAAGGTAGTGTAAATAATTCTGGTATAATGATAATAAATAATGCCTCAGAGAAACTGCCCATAATTGTTAAGTTACAAGTATACAGGTTTGGGGGCAACTCTTGAAAATATGAAGACAGAAAAGTCAAGTTCTCTCTCTCCTATTCCCATCTCCATCAATCAGGAAATTCTGATGTAGAGGACTTGAGGTTGGGGTGGAGAGTCTATACAAATCTTCCATCCAAAATGATGAAACTATAAATAAAATGGTCAACCCCTAACTGTTCCTATTTTTTTTTGCTATAAGATGTTATATCAGTGGAGATAGGGAGATTTTATATTCAATGAATAGAAACAGCTTTCCAGAGTACAACCTATATTTTAGTATGACATCTTACATTTGAGGAAGCTCTTGAATTTTCATCATTAGACTTGTACAATGAGAATGTGTGTAGAAAGAAAGATGTTTCTTGTCTGATTCACTAGGATAAGAGAATCTAACAGAACCCCATTAGAGGAAGAATTCAAGGCCAGTGTATGTGTGTGTGGGTATATTCTTGCTGGGGCTTCCTCAGAGGGGTGGTATGTTGAACTTGAAAAACAGATCAAGAGAAACTCCCAGGTTGAGAATTTACCTTCATCATGGATAGCTGTGACCTCCGAACCTGTATTTTTTAGTTTCAGAGAAAAAGAAGTGTGACAAAGGTCTTTATGATTGGAGCTGTGAAAGTAATTCTAGACAGAAGAAAAACAGCAGCAGGTTTTGTTTTAGAGACTAAGTTGGGTGGCATGCACAGACAGCTCTTCCATTCATCTTTCCAGGGTGTTAACTTCCAACTCCAATGTTGGCACTTAAATTTCCACACCCTGTTAAGCAAAGTGCTTGAAACAAAACATTCAGTTCACATCAATGAAATTCAAGGATACTCCTACAGGAATGTTAATCTCCCGAACTAGAGGAGTCTTTTTAAATTTGCAGATTCCTTTGACAGTTTTCTCTCCCCTAGGATCCCATTTCACAGGTGGCTCACTGACTTTGGCTGGCAACTTGAAAAAAGTGGTCCAAACTTCAGCCAGGCTTCCACAGTCCATTTCTCCATAACCCAACTCCATTATTAACATTTAGCTGGATACTTTTTTGTGCTCAGAAGTATCACAACTAATGCCAGGTTTAATTTCCATGACGATCCAGAGAACTAATGTATTTGGCAGAGTATCATTCTCTCTTTCTCTCTCTGTCCTAAATTTTTTTTAAGTAATTGAGCAACCACGAATCCCAAAGCTATGTGACATCTAAAAGGTCAAATAACTTTTGAGTAGTAGGTTGAACTTGGTCTAAGACCATGTCTCATAGAGTTTTAGCTCAGGGAGCTTTAAGGTCAGCCACTGGACAACGTGAATTCTCTACTTAGGGCTGGAGAGGTGGGAAGGAAGGAGAAGTGGGATGGTGTGACAGAAAGAAGTCTATGTGGAAGGGTGGAAGGGAAATAGTGCGAGGGGAAAGGTGAGGCTGCTCCCTACATAAGATTTATGTAATCCTACCCCTTTGGGACCCCCTTGGGGAATGTTTTCAGTCTCCCAAATTTTAAACCCTATGTTGGTTTTAAAGTAGGGATTCACAGATGAATAGCATACAGATAGAAATGTGCTGACATACCTGAATGGTTCATGAGACTCTGTGGATTAGGGGATGCCTTAAACTTTACAATCTTAAAATCGGTATCGGAACTAACATGGGTTCTGGGGACTAAACACAACTGCGGCTGCAGACAGGAATGAATGTCAACAAATGCAGAGGACATGACCTCTACTCTGTATAGCATCAATTCTGCTACTATGTTTCTTCTGACCGATCATATTACCATTGGGTCTCTGTGACTATATCCATATCTATATCTATATCTATATCTATATATATGTCTATATATATATATAGTGTGTGTGTGTGTGTGTGTGTGTGAATACAGGTGAAATCTATCAAAAGATATCTATATTCCTATATCTTTTATATGCCTTTATTTTTATCAGTCTGTCCACTTTATATAGCATTTTGTTTCATTTTCAAAAATCAAGGTATAAGTTTTAATATAGTACTTAATGAGTTTTGATGAGTATAATAGAGTCTGTGACCACCATACACAGAACTATTTTATCTGCCCCCAAAATTCCCTCCTGTCCTTTGTGGTCAACCCCCATCCCCATCTCAGGTCCTCAGGACAACCACTCATCCTGGCAGATCTACTGGTCATGGATCTCAACCCCAGGCTACCTTTATTACGAATCCCACTATGTGTCAGGTTGAATTATGGATTCAGGGGAGATTTTTCTTTATTTTCTTAGTACATCAACTTCCATATTTGAGATAGTCACTTATGGTAAACTTGGAGCTTATTTTTATCACTGGCTCCTTATCCTTTGCCTAGGATTCCAAGTGACAGGAGACTGGATGCATGCTTGGGAATAGAAGCTCACACTGCCTGAGGGCTAGCTGTGCTAGGAACTTTGCATGTATTATAGAACTTTATTTAATTCTCACGATATTCTTGTGAAGAAATGCTATTGATCAGATTCCCACATACAGGTGTGGAAAGAGAAGCACAGAAAAGGAAAGAAAACTTCCACAGATACACTGCTAGTGTCAGAGCCAGCATAGGGATGGAGCAGTGTCTGGCTGACGCGAGAACCTGCTGTCCTGACAGTTGGTCTGCACAGTCTTAGCTATGGTCCCGCTATGCTAAACACTGGGCTGAGTGGGAAAGGTTTTTTTTTTTTTAAGTAGATATGGTTTCTGTTAAAAATATTTATAATAGCACACCATCTCAATGTTCTTTTATGGTTTCCGACACAACTCATTTATTATTATTATCTAGGAGGGAGATTATTCCTTTTATCTTTGAAATAAAGAAGTTATATTTTAATGGAAAATGTTATGTCCTGGCCATAAGCGTGTATGTCTATGAAAATACACTATAGAATGTAGCGTCATACCTGTTATACAGTATGATCAGCTTTTTTTGGCAACTCCTTTTATAGACTTTATTTTGAGTTAATATATATTCTAGGGGATGTGTCTATTCTACCTAGTTGCACTTACAACTGGGGGTGGCCTTTTGCCCCGAGGGCAAGGAGTTTAGTGGATGGGAGCAAGAGCAGGAGATGCAGAAGCAGGTAGCTGTGTTATCCTGCAGGGGAATCATCCATTAGACCCTGCTCATGAAACCGGGAAGGTACAAGCATCCCTGGTGACCCCCCCAAGTTTATGTGAATAGGAGAACCAACCCCCCGTGTTAGAAGACTGTCACTATGGTTCATCCTCAAAAGCTTGTCCTGTGCAGTTTACCCTGTAACATCACGGACTTCAAATGTACTTTTTCATTCCACTGCCATAAAACCAAAAATTCTAACCCTAACAGAGTGCAAAGAGACTACTCTGTGCCTAAAAGTTTCATGTCTGCAACAATCCTGAAAGTTACATTTTTCCTCAGAGGTAACTGAGGCATAGGATAGGTAGCCTGCTCGAGGTCATATGGATACTACGGTGAACAATGTCAAATGGGGACTCCAGAGGCCAGCTGTACAGTTTCTGCTATAACCTTTTTCCAAGACTGTAACCTTTTCACTGGTCTCAGACCTATGATTTTGGCAAAACAATACCTCAAGTAAGGGACTTTTGTAAGCTGATTACTCAAATGGAAAGAGCCTAGAATGCAGCAAATGCAGGGAAGGGCTTTCTCTGAAGTTCTGCTATCTACCTAAAGGTCAGGTTCTCCAGACAAATCCCTTCCTCAGATTTCTCACCCACCAGGGAACTGATACACATCACAGGAAGAAAGACCAGAGTGGACACCATGCCCAAAGCCCAGGCTGACTTTATCACAACCTGTTCTTCAGAAGCATTCATCTTCCCTTGAAATTACTTATTCCCACTCTAAATTGCTCACATTTGCCACCTCCCTTTCCCCTGTGAAGCACGTAGATAAGCTTCTAAGCCTCATTGTGTTAGTCGGTGCTCACTTTTCTTCCTTGTGCATGCAATAAATCTGTATGCCTTTTCTCCTGTGAATCAGCCTACTGTGTTTATTTCAAACCAAATGGTCAAATCTCCAAAATGGGTGGGGGGCTATTTAAGACTCTACTACAAAAGCAAGTTTTCCTTCTATGGAGGAGGATACCCTGTGCTGTCCCTTCAATAAATGCGGGGGTAGCAGAAAGAGTAATCCTTTATTACCTTGATTATAATGTTCCTGCCTCCTAGAAACAGAAAAAGGCTTTTGCTAAACTTGCCTACAAAATTTAGGAAAAAACACTATCAACCCTCCTCCCCCCAAAAAGTCAAACTATTGTCTACCTGGTAAGACTTTTTGAGTTTCTTAAGCTACCTAGAAGAAATTCGAGATGTAAAAGCAAAAATAGCAATGTTCGGCTATCTTTATAAACAGACTACTGGATAAACCAAGCTGGTACCTTGCCTTCCTCTGGCCCTAAACCACACAACACTCCCCCAACTACCCTCACATCAAATCAAATATTTCCTTATGGGAATGCTGAGGTGGAGAGAAAGGTAAAAAACTGCTGAATCCTCAAATTCAGGCTGCCTTGTACAAAAACATGCCTGTGTTTCCAAGAAGGTTTTGGGAGGGCAGCATAAAAGTTCTGCAAATTCAGCATCATGATTCTCACTTTACTTCCTATCTTAGTTTTGAAATGATTTATTGAAATGGATACTTTAGGGATGTAGGGGAAACAACTTTTCTCACCCTAACCCTTTATGTTTCTCTAACCAAGAGCAGATTTTTTTTTTTTTTTTCTGCCAGGACATCAAACCTCTGGGTTGGGAAAAATCTCAGTGGTCACTGTTTGTTTGTGTGATCAGCCTCATCCCTTGTGTGAATACTGAGCTGGAGTGTTGTACAATTCCACCTCATGCCTGGCTCACGCTCACCTTGTCCAATGTGTCATTCAGGGCATCCAGCATCTGTATTTTGGCAACAGTTGCAATGGCACTGTGGAGATGAAAAGAAACTTTAGTTAAAACTCAAAACTGTTCCAACTGCAGAGGCTAAATGATTTTTAAGAGAGGGCTATCTCCTTGACCTTCAAGTTTTCACTCTGCTTGGCAACACCTAGAAGGCAAATGTGTATGTGGGTGCTATAACAAACCTTGAAGGCCAAGTTACAATTGTAATTATTTTTAAAACTTTTCATTGAAGCATAATACACATACAGAAAAAGGCACACATTGTAAGCATATAGATCAGTGAATATTCACAAAAGAAAACATTCATCAAACCAGCTGCCTCTAAGGCTACTCACTATCCTGACTTAGAGCTCCATAGATTAGTTCTGACTGGTATTGGACCTCATAAAATGAGCCATTGACCACATGTACTCTTTTCTGTCTGGTTTCTTTCTCTCAGCTATTTTGTAGGAAGGTGTCAGTCAGGCCTGACTCTGTGCTTGGCATATTGTCTTTCTGGATGGTTTGTGTTTGTTAGTAGAAATTATTAGAGAATGGACATAGATCAATGATACTTAGAAATGTATTCCCTCTGATACACTTCTAAAAAGCTGTTCTTTAAGAAGCGTTTTCCATGAAAATGGAGTACTCTGATCCCTGAAACACTCTCGAGTAAGAGGTGGGAATAGCAAAATGCAACTTATACCTCAGGGCTATCAGTATATGGGCTCCCTCCAAAGCTCTGGGAGTGGCCTTGGCCATTTCATATTTGTCATTTTTGGTTATTTTTCTTTAAAATAAAAGTTTCAAGTTTCCTATAACCTGAGTCTGTCTGAGACAATTAGGGCAGCAGAGAGAGCCCTCTCTTGCTGCATAAATTCTGTAGTAGTCCAACTCCTATCTTTTAATGACTACTAAAAAACAATTGAGCTTTTTAAAGAGGTTTCAATCACTACTTTACTACTCTCTAGCCAACTCCTCTGCCTGCATTGTTCAGCTGATGTTAGAATTAACAGTGAGTCCCCATTTTTTCTGGGGGGGATGCAGAGAAATGATTGGCTTGTCCATTGGCTACCTGCAGAGGCATGTTAACTGGTGTGACAATAAACAAGTCTTATGCTTGAGCCAGACTTTAGCAAGAGAACAGGCTCCCTAAAGGAACCAGCCTGCAATTCAACCATCTGGTACCAGTTACAGCATGCATTTAACATTCTAAGGGCTGGTGGAGTGGCTAAGTGGTAGAGCGCCTGCCTACTATTCTAGGAAGCTGCCCTAGATGCCGGGTTAGAGGGTAAATACTGTGTGACCTCACAAATGAGGACTTATAGCTTTGTCCTCATTATAGGATGGCTATTTTCTGATACAAGAAGAAGCAAAGGATGAGCTGCTAATGGGACAAATCCATGGTCATGCTAAGGTGTGGGGGGCATATTTTAAAAATTCCTTCCCAGAAATTGGGAAGAAAACTTGAAAAGTGATTTAAATATAATTTTACATGAAAGAGTCAAAGAAATGGCACAGTCTGTTCCTCTCTAGATTCTTTTTTGAAGACTTAAGGAGGTGCCTTGGGCATCCTTTCATCAACTCCTTCTGAATCACTCACTCACTGATCTATGGAAACTATCTTACAATTAATAGGCAATGAAGCACTCCTCATTAGGTTACTTGGAGGAACCAGTTTGGTATGTTTATTTCTTTTCCAAATGCATTCTGTTTCCTTAACCAAGGCTTACAAGTGGTTAGGCCTTTTGTGAGGCTCCAGCCCATACACAGAGCCATGCTTGGCTCTCAGTGTGTCAAGGTCCTAAGAGAAGGAGCAGGAAGAAATCAGCTTTAATATCTGTGTGCCTTGCCACTGTGCCAAATATAGCATGATCATTAATTTCTTAAATAACTGAGTGATGCCTTCAAAATAATAACCAAAAGAAGTGTTTATTTTTCATTTAGGAGATTAGTTTCAACAGAAAGCATTTTATAGAAACAGGGCTGGCCAAAGGACAGTATTTTAAAGGATGATCTGAAAATAGAATAAAGGGATGTGCATCAGGGTTGGATGTACTTAGGATCTTGCTTTTTAAGTCAGAGGTGGCTGGCCTGGTGCAGAGGGGAGAAGGATGGGTGGAGGTCATGATGGGGGCACAGAGAGAGTCCTCCAGTTGGTAGCCAAGTTGACACTGATTGTGACTCTGACCATGACTGCAGCCTTGGCTGACTGAGAAAAGCATTAGAGTTTTTGGTTTATTCTAAAATAACTTTGGAATCATTTATATTTCCTCGAGGTGATGAAGGAGAACAAATTAAGCAATCCCTACCTTGTTTTCTCTAATCCTGCTTTTTTGGTGTGTTTCTCCAAGACGCCCAATTCTTGTTTTTTGGCAATACGCATTCCTCCAGCTTTTACTATAAATAAATAAGCATTGATGTGGAAGTTAGAACAGCTTTGTTGTTCCAGGTATAACTTCAGATTTCAAAATTCTTTTATATTTTAAGGATCTAAACTTTTATGTAAAATCTGAAATAACACAATAAAAAGAACAAAAATTTCCCCAGGGACACAGGTGAGGTCAGAAGAAGGGCTGAGAATTACTTGCTTATGTTCAGAGAGGTGGAATGGAGGTTGAAAAAGCAGGTTTTAACTTAGATTGGGAAAGAGAGTAACAACATACTCCCATAGGCATTTCACAGAAAAAAACATTTTTCCTTGTGATCAAATCAATTACATTCTTTATGATAGCAATCTACAATTACAATATGACCCTCTGTTTCCCCGCAAGATTAAAGCTTTTGCATGGCTTGCATTTTTTTTTTTCAATCAAAGCTTTCAAAGCTAGATTCTAAGAGATGAGCCAAAAGTCAGTGCATGCAGTGACAACAGGCATTTAATTTAACAGAGGTGCTTCAAATTCCACCAGATACCCACGGTCTATCCCAGACCCCCAACCTCCATGTTGGCTGAGCTCAGAGGTTCTAATGAGTAATTAAACTGTATTTATAATCCTGCCATTCAAGAGATCAATTAGCATTAATTAAGCTACAGATGACCTAACAGCAATCCAAGTATTTAACGTCAGATGAAATCAGCTTTTGAAAAAGAACAACCCATTTCAGATTGCAAGTTAAAGCAAATAACTTTTTCTGTTCCCAGGAAATTTGCACATTTAAAATCTGACAAGCTCAAATGAGAAATGACTAAATGGACAGTGATTTGTTTGAACCTGTTAATTCTTTTTATGGAAATACCAAATGGGCAATTTTCTGAAACTAGTTTCAACAAAGTGAAAAATAGAGAAAATCTATTCTGTTTCTCAATGTACCTTTGTGAATTGACTTTATCATGGTTCTTTAAAAATTATTACTTAATATTTTTTGGTTATGTAACACATGGAGAAGGCACACAAGCATGAAAAGTTCTGCAGGCTCCCTTCTTGCTATTCTTTCCTTTCTTTTTTTTTTTTTTTTGGTGCTGGGGTTTGAACCCAGGGCCTCCATTCTGGTAGGCAGGTGCTCTGACCACTTGAGCCACTCCACCAGCCCTTGCCATTATTTTTTAACCTCCCAGATCATCTCCCCAGATACTGGTAATCTTAAAAGATTCCTATGTCTTCATCCACAGATATTCTATGCATTATTTTTTTAAAATGGTAGCATAAGCTACCATTGTTCTGCATCTTGTTTAGTTTTTGCACTTATATATTTTGGAGGAAGTTCTATATTTATATATCTGTATCTGTGTCTTTTTAAGATCTGTGTTAGAATTTCATTGCATGAACTTTCTTTGTTTACTTAACCAGTGTGTTTCATGTTTCTAACTCATTGCTATCACAATCTTGCAATGAATATCCTTTTATGTACATAATTTTGTATCAGATCTCTATCTATATCTGTAGGATAAGTTTCTAAAAGTGATCTTGTTAGCTTTGAAAAGTATGTCTATTTTTGGCAGTACTGGGGTTTGAACTCAGTACCTCACACTTGCTAGTCAGGCACTCTACCACTTGAGCCACACCACCACTGTGTGTATGTGTTCTTGGAATTTTGTTAAATTTTGCCAGATCGCCCCTTGCAGTGGTTGTACCAGTTTACAATATCATCAGTTGTGATGACAGCGCTTGTTCCTTTTGACACCTAGTGACAATATGAGCTAGGAAACATTTGGTTTTGTCAACCAACCGATAAGTTAAAAAAGCCAGATGTCTCATTCTTTTAATTTGCATTTCTTATTTGTTACTAAAGGATGAGCTTTTTTCAGAAGTCATTTGTATTTTTTTTCTATGAATTGTTCAGTCTTTATTATCCATTTTTTCTTACTGAATTGCTAGTTTTCCCTATTTTTTCTTATTGATTTATAGGAGCTATTTGTCTGTGAGATGCATTCCAAATATAAAATATTTTATCATGTCAGTTACTGCCTTTTGACTTTATTGATAGTGTTTATGCATTGCAGAAATTTGTTGTTCTTATGAGAAGTTGTCAGTCTCTTGTGGGTTTGTATCACTAAGGAAAACTGATGTTTTATAAATATTATTCCATGTTTCCTACTACAACATTTATGGTTTCATTTTGTAAAATCAGTCTTTGATCACATATTTATATCTTTGACCCTTCTTTTTTTTTTTTTTTGGCCTTTCTTTTTTTTTATTATTGTTTTATTATTCATATGTGCATACAAGGCTTGGGTCATTTCTCCCCCCTGCCCCCACCCCCTCCCTTACCACCCACTCCGCCCCCTCCCTCTCCCCCCCACCCCCTCAATATCCAGCAGAAACTATTTTGCCCTTATTTCTAATTTTGTTGTAGAGAGAGTATAAGCAATAATAGGAAGGAACAAGTGCTTTTGCTGGTTGAGATAAGGATAGCTATACAGGGAGCTGACTCACATTAATTTCCTTCTTTGAACCTTCTAAAATACATTTTGCATATGTCATGGAGAATGTAAGTTTTTTTAGATAATTCAAATACTACTGAAAAGTTCAACTTTTCTCTATTAATTTGAACTACACTTATTTGCACTAAGTTCTGATATACAGTTCTGTATATGTGTGTGTATACATGTCTGTGTAAACATATACATATGTATTTGTGACTACTCTTGGACTTCCATTCTGTTCCATTAATCTGTCTGTTCATATGCCATTGTAACTATTTTAACTATAACTATAGTGTTATAACATACTTTAATATCTGACAGTTCTCCCTTGTTACATTTTTTTTTCAAATTTTACTATTTATACTTATTATTTTTCAGAAGAGAAATTTTTTTCTTTGTCTTCTTGAAGCACTGAGGATGGAACTCAGGGCTTTGTGTAGTCTAGGCAAGTATTCTACCACTGAGCTAGGTCCTCAACCCTTGTTTATTTTTCCATAAGAACTTTAAAAATAGTTTGTCAATTCCCTATAACAATCTTGTTGATATATTTTTAATAGTCTTACTTTAAATTTATAGATTTTTATTTTTTAGACAGGGTTTCACAATAGCTCAGTTTGGCTTCAAACTCAGTCTTCCTCCCTTGGCCTCTTGAATGTTAGAATTACAGGCATGCTGTACCATGAAGGGCTAACTATATAGAGTTTTTATAAAAAGAAAAATTCATATCATTATGATGCTTTTCCATTGTTCACATCTTCTGGGATTCCCCACTAACTGTTCACTATATATATATGTATATATATATGTGCATGTGTGTATACATATACATATATTTTGCACATTTATTATTATGATTATTCTCTAAGTAGCTTGTCTTGGTTGGTACTGTGTTATAAATGGGCTTATTCTTTCATTATTCTAACAAATTATTGGTATTATTTTTGTTATTTTAATGTTATTGATTTTATACTCAGGACTTAACTGAATTCTCTCATGATTCATTCTGTTTATTTAATTTTTTTTTGAGAGTCTTTTAGGTTTTCCAGGTAAAAAAATGATAAAATCTGCAAAGAACAAAATTTCTTCCTTTAGGATAATATTAAATGATGGTGATGGTAGACATCTTCGCCTTTCTAAATTTGAAGAGATTACTTTCAGTGTTTCCCCATTAAACATAATGTATACTTTGGCGATTTCTCTCTCTTCATGTATACATGTATATGTATGATATATATACATATTATCATATATATTTTTCATCATGTGCACAAAAATTTCCTTCTATTATTATTTTATTCAGCTTAAAAATTATGAATAAGCCCAGTGTGGTGGACAGGATTGTAATCCCGCCACTTGGGAGGCTGAGTCAGGAAGATCTCAAGTACAAGGCCAGCCTCGGCTACATAGCTACCCTGTTTCAAAAAATTATGAACAGAGCTGGGCGCTAGTGGCTCATGCCTGTAATCCTAGCTACTCAGGAGGCAGCGATCAGGAGGATCACGATTTGAAGCCAGCCTGGGCAAATTGTTCTCGAGACCCTATGTTGAAAATACACATCATAAAAAAGGGCTGGCAGAGTGGCTCCAAGCGAAGGCCTTGAGTTCAAGCCCCAGTACTGCAAAAAAAAAAAAAAAATTATGAACAGATGTTGAATTTTATCAAATGCCTTTCATTGTTCAAGGATGTGATCATATGAATTTTTCTTTACTGTGGTTCATTGTATTAATGGATGCCTTACTATTGAGCCATTCTTGCATTTTTCAATAAACTCTGTTTAATCACTTACATTACCATATTTTTAATTGATTATATAAGTTTCTTAGTAGAATTGTTAGATTCATTTTAGGAAAAACTTAATCTGCTTTAAGTTATATATATATATATATATGCACACAGTCATTAGCAACAGAAATGAAATTATGTGGAAACATCTGAACAGCCCAACAATAAGGTGAGATACACATGGATGGGCTTTTTCAGGAAGGTTTGAAGAGTGTGGGCCTCTGTCTTAGGGGTGGTGTCTCTTCACTGTTTATTCTGCCAAGAAGAATCAAATAAGAGGTCTCTGGCTTGGGCTCCTGCACACCTCCCAACAGTATTTTCTATTCTCCTATGACGGTGCTTTTCAAACATGGTGTTCTATAATTACTTCCTTATTACCGTTCCTTTCCTTTCTCCAGATGCTATAGTTTCTGCACATTTTCTTTTGCCTGGATGGATTATTATGATCAACTATAGAAGCACGATTGTTAAAAGTGAGTGTTTTGGAACTCCTTCATTTGGAAGGACATTGATAATGTAAGGGTCTCCAGAGGAGAGTGAGCAGAATGAAGGAAGCCATGTCACCTGAGTATCTAGAGAATCTGGTGAGATCACTCCCAAAGAACCAAAGATCCAAGGGAAGTTAGGATACCATCTCCAAAGTTCCAAAGGGCTATCACGTTGGGGGAGAAGTTTTTCCTCGAGAGGAAAAATTATGCAGTGTCAGACAGCATTACTCCTCCCAAGCCATGTGACTGCTATGGTTTGCATA